TAAAGTAAAGTTTTTTTTGTGAGCAAAATAGAATTTACTTTTGACAGAAATATCATACAAAGTTTTATGTACAACTGTCTTGTTTTCATAATAAAATAGATAAATTTAATATTTCTATAAAAACACATTTTGACATGTCTTCTCAGTTAACTATTTTCATGTTGTCGCATTTGCTGTGAAGTGGCCATGTCAGGTGACGCCAAATCACCTGGTTACCAACAAACAGCAGTATTGTTTACAGCTCTCGCGTTTTATTGGAGTCTCATTCAAAGTTCTTGCTGGTGTTTAATATCTTGCATAATGAAAAATAATAGTGAGGAATTGTGTGTTATTGACGATACTGAAGAAGCTGCAAAGATTGCTTCAATTGAATTGTTACCAAAAAAATCGGCTCAGCAGTACGACATCGCATATTCTAATTTTCTTAGCTGGGTTAGACTTGAAAACATCGAAGGAAATTTTAGCAAAACCGTCTTCTTAGCCTATTTAGAAGAGAAATCAAAAATATAGAACTCATCAACTTTGTGGAGCAAGTTTTCAATGATGAAGTCGAGTGCGCTCGTTAAAAATGGTGTTAATACAAGCAAATATTTCAAAGCAATACCATTCTTTAAGTGGAAAAATCAAAGTTATAAGCCCAAAAAATAAAAAACTCTTACGTTTAAACAAGTCCAGAGGTTTATAAAGGAGGCGCCAGATGGAAAATATTTTATGATAAAAGTTGCTACTATTTTCAGAATATATGAAGCCTGCCGGCGTGAAGAGCTGTGCCATTTATTAATAGAAGACATTAAATTAATGGATAAATCATTGATTGTTCAAATTCCAAATACAAAAACGAAAATAGGTCGTTCTTTTTGCATTGTTGAAAAAAACATTGATTATTTTTATAAATACGTTGCATTACGCCCTTCTGTTGTCAATCATCAACGGTTTTTACTGAAATACTCAAATTATAAATGCAGTGCCAACCCAGTTGGTATAAACATGTTTGGGAAAATGCCTTCTACCATTGCTGAGTTTCTGAAATTCCCGAAACCGAAGGAATATATAAGTCACTGTTTCAGAACGTCTTCTGCTTCTTTGCATTAAGAAGCACGCAGGATGGAAGTCTACCACATAGTTGAGGGTTACATCGATCAATGTATTNCGTGAAATCAAAATGAAATGATAAATCTGAAAAATGAATACATTTGGATCATCAGAGAATCTGCTTTAGTTTAATAAAGGGCAAACTGAAAAGATAACTACGCAAAGTATTAGATTGTTTAAAGAGTTTCGTCCAATAAATATTTATTCTACTGTATCGTGGTATATACTGATTGATAAAGAACCTCGTACTTTATACATTAATACTGTTCTTTTTTTTTAATTTTAATTTTTTGCCTCTTTCCAGCTTATCAATATTTGTTTATTTTCACATTTTTCTCAGTTAATCAGAAAAGTGCTTCAACTTTTCTACTTCTTGAAAAACGGCGAAGAAATTCTCTTTGAAGCTTTCAATTGTGTAACAATTTGTGCTTCTAATCAATTGTAGTTTGTTTAGATTCATAGCAGCTTCGAAACTCAGTAATGACTCACTTTTACCTTTTATGATGAAAATCTGAGTTCGAAATTTTTTTGCTCCAGTATCCACAATAAATTCAGTTCTGTTACCATTTAGTAAAATTCGGACTTTGATAGACCTATTTGAAACTGTATTAACTGTTTGAATTATTCTGAATGCTTCTTCTCACGATGATTCACTATATTCCAAATTGATAGACTTCAAAATTTTGAAAATTTTCTGAATGACCAAACAATATTGAATTATTTTCTTCTTATGAATCTGTTTTCTAATGTGGAAATTGGTAGTTTATTACATATTCATTTAATGAGCTGGTGTTTGAGAACTAGTTCAATTAGTTTTTACTCAACCTCAACTCAATCAGTATGAAAACGCTTGAGAAAGTTATTGTATAGTGAAACACGTGTTGGGGTTTTGTCAACGTTCCAGTGAAAATCGCACAATGTGTGTCACTTGAGTTAGTGACAGATTTTCATAATGTATCGGCCAATTCCATATACAATGAAAACAAAATTTGAAGAAAAATTATGAACTCAAAAACGATTGTTTTAATGCAATAATATTTTTTGGAATATAATAAATAGTATTATGGAATTATACCATAGAAGCAAGACAATGTCATGTATTGCCCTTAAACAGGGCATCGAAAAAAGGATCTTGTGACCCAGACTATTATTGTGAGATGCATGAAACCTTGAGGAAGCCATTGTAAAGCGAAATACGTGTTGCGGTTTTGTGAACTGGAAATCTCACACGAGCGTTACTTGAACAAAAAAATGTTACGTGAAATCAAAATGAAATGATAAATCTGAAAAATGAATACATTTGGATCATCAGAGAATCTGCTTTAGTTTAATAAAGGGCAAACTGAAAAGATAACTACGCAAAGTATTAGATTGTTTAAAGAGTTTCGTCCAATAAATATTTATTCTACTGTATCGTGGTATATACTGATTGATAAAGAACCTCGTACTTTATACATTAATACTGTTCTTTTTTTTTAATTTTAATTTTTTGCCTCTTTCCAGCTTATCAATATTTGTTTATTTTCACATTTTTCTCAGTTAATCAGAAAAGTGCTTCAACTTTTCTACTTCTTGAAAAACGGCGAAGAAATTCTCTTTGAAGCTTTCAATTGTGTAACAATTTGTGCTTCTAATCAATTGTAGNAAATAAAAATGAAATGTAAATTATAATAATTGATTTTATGACATCATTATTAAATATTCAATGACTTATCATCTAAAAAACATACAATATAAATAAATTTGCCCGTTACATATACAAATAAACTTATTCAAAAAGATCCTATTATGTTTTCCCTGTGGGTTTAACAAATAATTGAATACACTGTACAATTAAACTCAACTTTATTCCACTACTACACTGCTAGTATAACAAAAGCTTTAACTGAACTTCAGAATAATACTCGAATGTTCATTGACAAAGACCAGTGGCAGCCGACGTTATTTTATGTTCAGGGGGTGATTTACAATACCAAAAAGATTTGAAATATTCCAGTAGACTATTAAAGGGTCTATTGACGAGACATTTTTGTATAGTCCTTCTAAATGAATCGATAGATCACTTTATAGACCTCATCTTGACTGACTGATGATTGTATATTTTAGTTCCGTTATAAAATAGTGAATCTTTAATTAAAGTCGAGATGGGAAGTCAAAAACTGAACTCCCTGTTTCGAATGGGATGAGTATTGACGAAATTGAATTTTGTTTTATGTTTAATCACTAAGCTATAATATAATTCCAAAATATAAGGCACTAAATTTTCAAAAATGAGCGTTTTTGCCTTAATCTGTCTCTTGCAGTGGCGTACCGAAATTATAATTATATGATAGACAACCTGACAGCAATGTTTTCCTTTTAACGCATATTTCCGAGAATTTAGTACCTACTATTATGAAATTGTACTATAGAATATTTCATATTTTATTATTTTCGTATCTCATAGATTTTCAACAAAATAATATTTTTGACAATGGAATTTCAAAAATCTAACACCCATTTTCATATCATAGGATGACGACCATGTATTTTGTGATTCTTTCGGAAACATTTCAATAAGCCTTGTTATGATCATTGAACTAATTATATTTGCACTAGATGACTCCCAGTAACGCTACAAATATGAGTTAATCAATTTCTTGCTCATATTGAAATTCTACAATTCTGCGAAAAAATTACAATGTCAACAAAAACATTTTTAGAAATGGAGTTGAAGTATATGCACATAATCCTTCATTGAGTAATATAATTGTACTCCACCTCATTTGATATATCCATTCGTAAACAACAGCTTCTTAGTTGGATTGTTATAGTATCAGATTCAGCTAAAAAGTGTCGATAACAACCCCCTGATGAAGAAGTAATCTATGGAATTAACATCAAACTTCGACCACGATTGTCAAAGATGATAAGAAACCAACTCTGTTGTCCTAAGTAGGACAAACCGGATTTAAAATAGCATAGTGCTCGATGGAAACCTTAAATAAAGATGAACGTGGGTTTTTAACGACGGTATCAATAATGGTTTATCGTGAAGCCATTCTTCAATATCAACCATAGACGGACAAATCGCTTTCCCTTTCTCTCTGCAAATTTCACTAAGCAAATTCCACTAAGGGACGTAGAGATGAAAGTGATTGACGATACTTAAAGTAGAATTACATTGAAAATCTTTGGCGCTGATTTTGGAGGATCAACTGCCATATTTATGAAAAGAGGAAGAAACAAATATGAAAATAGTAAAAATAGCATGACTCTAATATTGGAAGTTGCAAAAACAAGTTCGAAAAGGGTTATCATATGATTGGTGGATAAAAACATTCAAAACGTTCTGGAGAAAGTTGCTATAGAATAATTTCTGCTCTCTTCATAACTTCTTTCCATTCATTAATCGATGTTCTTTATCAGTTCTTATTTTCATTGTTTGTAAATTGTTATATTCCACTTATTGTACAACCCTTTATTTTTTTCAGTTAGATTATTGATTCATGATATGCCACAAAATACTTCATATGATTTAATCAATGATAAGTGTTCGTGAATCTTTCAATTTTAGGAAAACCCCTTTTCCATGATGTTTTTTGGTAACTGACGTTTTGGTATGGTACTATCCATATGTCTTTTGCCTTCAAAGCACAACTCATTTAGCTCATTGAAGGATTCATAATTCTTTAAATCTATTTTGCAAATATGTTTCGCAGTATCTTGAAACAAACAACAGGCAGGTCGTCACTTGATGAACTCAGCTATGCGGGATGGTTGTAAAAAATAGAAAAATAGAAATATATAGTACTCAGGCTTTTCTACTTCACACCCGCCAGATTCTTGAAGTTTTTTGGACATATAAGTCATTTTTATATTTGTTTATCATATTATTCACGTCAATCTGAATGAATATTTTTTTCCAGGTTTCAATCAACTCACCAATATTACCCTCCATTTTGTAATTTTGAGCTTTGACAGATATAGTAGAGACGATATAATTGGAGAAGTATTTTGCGCACTGAATGGTGTCGATATTACACAAATTGAAAGTCAGCAGATGGCAGTTTGCAGAGAGATTCAACCAAGGAGCTTGAAGGTAAGATGAATTATTCATAAAATACTCACGAATCCGAAATATCATTGAATTAATGTAAATTGTGTTTGAGCTAATCATTTTGTCGAATGGTTTTATCGATTGGGTGGTAATTTAGCAGCTCATGTATCCAATCAAAGAAGTTTATTCACAATCATTATATACAACTATTCCCATAACTTCGTAGAACTTCTGAATAGTGAATATGAGTCAACAGACAAAGTTAACCAGAAGATATTTTAGATTGCCGATGACTAATTTGATACATTGTTACTAACTGAATTTCAATCTGGATATAGTGTTTATTCTTTCGGAAATCTCCCGGTATTCTTTGTACTACAACTTTTGGAAGAAATGACCTACGGTCCTCAAAGGAAACCCCAACTTCCAGATGAGACAGCTATTTCCCGGTATTCTTTGTACTACAACTTTTGGAAGAAATGACCTACGGTCCTCAAAGGAAACCCCAACTTCCAGATGAGACAGCTATCCTGATATAAATATACTTCAAAATCCTTTTCGAGTAAATCTGAGATTAGGAAAAAATCAAGAGCGATTGAAAAAATTAAAAATAATGTCCAGTTATATTGGTGAATATGCATGGTATGAAATTCGAAAGTAGATCTTCTATAATTCGTCTAGTAAATCGATGAGTCGGTAGCAGTCTGCTGAAGACACTATTCAGTTAAAAAAATCTGAGTGTTTCTCCACAATAGGAAAATATTGACTTGTCTAAAGTAATATTCTAATATTCAACAAAAATACAAATCGGATCAAACAATGGACCATCTAAATGAAATTTTCCTTTCGGTAATCGATATCTAATGAATGTGTCAAACACTTTCTTCTTGAAACTCATGAAAAAAACTCCATCCTCAAATTTCGTCTTCTAGTTATTCGATAATAATAACTGATAATTTTCATTTACATTTCTGTAGATTTTATTCCGGATTGGTTTCGAAAGATTTCTGTGATATGAATTGTAACATCAAAATGTTTATTCGATGGCCAGAATATTTCCTGATGATTAACATTTACTCGAAATTCATGTTGAATCAATGAATTGACAGTTGTATGTATGTGTTCTTATTCGTTGTGGAAGCGTAACTGGAACTATAGATTCAATAGAGTTTCACTGAATTCATTCATTATAAGTTTTGGAGTTCGAACCACCTACAAAGTTTGTAATATCCACTGCAAGGCATATGAATATCTATAGTCTGTTTTTTTTAACTGATTCCACTATTGCTATCTCGGAAACGGTAAGAGCTACAAGGTCGGATATATTGGACAAACGTGTCCTATTTTGCAGGACTAGAATAATCAAAAATTATAATTGTTGAATTTTGTTTTTTGGCTCTGCCGACTCCATTTCGAATGATATGAAAAAGTCAGAGGAACTTCCGAAATGATGTCGTATTTGTTTTAATCTGATGTGACCAATTTACAATGCGTCGTTTTGTTTATTAAATTTCATCATCAAGTGAATGTTTCCAAATACAAATACAGACCTGTCTTGTAATACATAGCTGAATTTGTTATTACAGTATCTACAGTCGATGAAAAAACTATAGGTCCATATATAAAAAATAAAGTTGATAATGGGAAACTGGGAAAAGTTATATTGAATATTAGAAGAATATTAGAAATAACGTATGACAAATTCATTGCGATGAATGGCGGATTGGTTGAAATAACAAAAATTTGATGAACGTTCCTTTCAGTTTCTGTCTACAATAATTTGTTGAATATTGTTTTTCAATTGTTCAATCTTTCCAATGATTAATTGATCAGAATGAATATGTTCATTCGTTTATTAAATTTGCCATTTAGTTATCAACGATTATTTGATATTACTTTTCAGTCCATCAGATATTTGAATTAATTCACAATAAAAATTTGTTCGAGTCGACCACAGAATTATTAATATTGAATATTTTTATGGAATTCTGTATACCACCATTTGAAAAGGTGATTTTAAATTATCTTCTTATTCTTCTCATTTTGAATATGTAACATGTATAGTGAGTATTATCACTATAAATTAAATATTCAACTAATTAATTGATTTGGACAGAAAAGTAAACAGTCTGCCAATTCACTATATCCAAAATGATAAATAACTACGAATAAAGAACTCGTTGAAAATTTGTGAGCTATGAAAACAACAAAACAACAAGGAAATTTTGAAGGTGCTATATATTCTCTTATTTGTTTCAGATTCGATCCCAAGGCAGAGGAGATATTCTTGTATCGCTTTGCTGGCAACCGGCTGCCAATAGACTCACAGTTGTAGTTTTGAAAGCACGAAATCTCCCAAAAATGGATGTTACTGGTTTGGCAGATCCCTACGTAAAAATATATTTATTGTACAATGGTGAGTAATTCGTTCAGAGATGTTGAAATCGAATTCAACATTACAAAATCATTCAATAGCAACGAAAAATATCTGAGGATGTATGCAATATCTAACTGAATCTTTCTTGGGAAGGTATATGCATTTTTTTGACATTTATATATTATAAATACATTCTGATGAATCAAAACTCTCAACGTAAGTCGCATAAATGAAAAAAAAGTGATCAAATTCACTCATAAATATTGCTCCGTTTGAATAAATCTCCGATATGGGTTTGTTCAACTTGAGAGTATATTTCAAAATGAGAAATATATAAATTTTCAATAAAAACACTCTTCTTTCTTCATTATTGCACCAAGAATGGGCTCATTCACTCTAATTTTGTTTTTTATTGAAAATTATATATTATAAAAGTAAATCATCATCTATCGTCAATTCAATTTCATTTTCTTTAAAGTAATGTATATATCAATTATGGGTAACTGGCATCTTTGAGACAAAAGTTCTATAATAAATAAAGAGTAGGTACCTTGGGATTCCAAGACATAATTTCGGATTTTTCTCTATGACGTAAATAGATCTTCGCTCAATATTGTTTTTCGAATTCAGGTTCTCAACTAATATTCCAGACAAAGTAGAATCTGATGATGTATCAACAGAAGTCATGTCTGATGTACTCAAACTCTCACTGTCCTGGAGAACTTAGTAGTAATTTTTTCCAATACTTTTTGTAGTGCTCAGAGTAAAGTATAATTTTTTTATTAATCATTATCATTCATACTTACATTAAAATGATCTTCGCAACAAAAATGCTTCCCCTTGGCAGATACAAAGTCGGCTCTCCGCATAGCGCGCTGTCGTAACTTTCGTAACAGTAAAATAAAAATGTTTCTGGTGCAGTTACCGAAGAATTCTTGTATTCAGAAACGATGCAATACTTGTAACGTATTTTTTTATCATTATTCATATTCATACAGTTGACACACTGCAGTAAACAACACACAACTTGCTTTCTACGGCTTTAGCACACGTATTTCGCTTATTCGCCAGCACTCCCTTGTCGCCGAGTCGACTGATGTGACGTCAAGCTTGACCACGCCCCGTTTCGGTGAACGCTACATTCAACAATTAATTTAAGGGGGAAGATAAAGAGTGAGAATTCAGATTTTTTGCAGATGCACTATTTGAAACATAAACTTTCAGATTATGAAATAATAAAATGTGTTAAATAAGCCCATTACTTTGCCTGTAACACCGCAAATAAATCATACAATTTTTCAGAGGAAGATGGGAGTTATTTCCGAAACTTCGTTCTTGAATCATATTATTCTGTATATTGAAATATTATGTTACTTATATACACTACGCTGGATGAAATTTTAATTGAATTCAAATGAACGCAGTGAGTAATTTTAACAATTTGCCCTTCAAATTATATTTGTTTCGAAAGATTTTTTGAAAAAGACGTGATTATTGAGGATATTTTCAATATATAAAAAAAGTGAAAATACAAATACAAATTCAGTTTATGAAAGTCAAATATCTCCCTATAATCACTTTGATTCTGAATTTTCAGTTTCTGAAACCTTACTTAGCAAAAATTTATTACAACTTACAGGAAAATTTGTTCAAAATAATGCAAAAATTGATAAAGTTCACAAAATATATTCGATTTGTTGTTACTGCATTTTTGTTTGGCCGGTTGGTGGCCAGGCGGTTCGACGCGGGTGCTTTGTTCACTCACTCAAATTGACTGCCGTGTTGGTCGGTAGTTCAAGCCCTAGTCTGAACGATCGATTTTCACTTGCTATCGTCAAACCCGTGTTAGGAATCACACGTTAAAAGGTAAGACTTCGTTAATCTTTAGCTCGCACAAGTTTCGATTTCTGATGGTTGTCATTCGTAGGGGTGTGACAGCCGGTTAACGGAAAAACAGATTTTTTTTTGAACAGATTTGAAAAATAAACCAAATTCACGCGACAACTAGAAAACCTTACAATAAAATTAAAAAAAACTCCTACGAGATAGTTTTAATCAGTTTTAATAACTAGTATAGTATGCGGGTAGTTTTTCAGTAGTTCTGTATCTACCCACAGTAGCCACAGAAATATTTCATAGGTTTGTTGACAATTCATTCCCAAATGCGGTAAGCAGTATAACAGACGATGAGAAAATAGACGAAGCGAACTTTTTCAGCTCTGTTACGCCAGCAACGCAAAGTACGGAAATCGCATTTAGAAAATGCCAAAATAGGTACTTTTTAGGTGATTTTTAGGTACCGAAGTCAAAAATAGTAATAAAATAATGAATGTTAAGGGAACACTATTAGGTGCTGATTGAGTGCTGAACGGTGAGGATCGTAAAATTTTCTAATTATTATACAAAAGCTTCCAATTTCGCTAAACAACAGATCTATCAATTAGGTCTCTCGAAAACGAGGACGAATGCTCTATCAGGTATAAACTAAGCGTGGTAATAAAGTGCTAATTAGGTGCTTGCAAGAAATTAAGATAAAAAGACCGCAAATAAGTGAAAAAAAAACGAGATACCTGATTTGAAAAAAAAAATTATCAATATGCAATAAAGTCTTGACATACTCGTCAACTAATACATAGACAATCAAAATAAAGTGCTAATTAAGTGCTCACTAGATGAATAACAGTAAACATAGTAAGTAAGTAAGGGTATGAGAATAAAGTGGTGATTATGTACCTCATCAGATATTTATTGTAAATCTAGATTCCATAATCCATGTGGGTCTCATGGACCCGATAACCACCATTAAACAATTTTTTTTGAAATATGTTTTTCCCGTTAACCACCTATCGCACCCCTACGACTTATGCGAGCTAAGAACTAACGAGGTCTTACCTTTCAACGTGTGATTCCTAGCATTGGTTGGAGAATAGCAAGTGAAAATTGAGCGTTCAGCCTGGAGCTTCAATCATCGACTCAAACATCGGCCGGCCGACCGGCCGGTCGATATGAATTATCAGTCCATCAGTCATAGTGGTTTTCCATAATGCTCCATAATAGGCATTATGGAATCTAGGTTTACTATTATTTATCTAGTGAGCACTCAATTAGCACTTTATTTCGATTGTCTATGTATTAGTTTACGAGTATCTCAAGACTTTATTGCATATCGTACATTTTTTTTCTCAAATCAGGTATCTCGATTTTTTTTCACTTGTTCGCGGTCGTTTTCATTATTAATTTCTTGCAAGCACCTAATTAGCACTTTATTAACACGCTTAGTTTATACCTGATAGAACATTCGTCCTCGTTTTCGAGAGACCTAGGTATATTCATAGATCTGTTGTTTTGCGAAGTTAGAAGCTTTTTTTAATAATTAGAAAATTTTACGATCCTCACCGTTTAGCTCTTGATTAGCACCTAATAGTGTTCCCTCAACATTCATTATTTTATTATTATTTGCATTGCATCATGTACTGCTAGCAACGCAACTTTGAGTATTGAGTTGCGGTGTAAGTTACAGACCACCTAATTTTTGGCTTCGGTACCTAAAAAGCACCTGAAAAGTACCTAATTTTGGCATTTCCTAAATGTTATTTCCGTATTATGCGTTGCTGGCGTAACAGAGCTAACTTTTTCATTTTTCTGTTCTTTCAAGTGAAAACGGAAATTTTTGAAGATATATGAACTGGAAGTTTCAACCCCTAGAAATTTCTAGAGAAGTGCTCGAAAGCATTCCACAACATTCCATAATATATCGGAACATTCTGTAACGTCGGTGGAATGTTAGGAAATAGTCTGAAAATAATAATACAATAATGTAAGAAACGCTTTCGGAAGTAGACTATATTATTGTATGGAACTAGATGGAGGCCATTTCGAACACTTAATCCGTTAATTGTGTTGCCATAGATAATACTTTTGTTGATTTCCTCATTAAAATGAGCGACAGCGAATTTTCTGTTTTTTCTTAAGTAAAACGATCAATATTCAATTTTTCAATAATGAATGAACCAATCCAAAAAAAAAATATAGAAGTAATAGAGGGACAAAAGACCTTTCAAATCATGTATCACTCGACCCCACATACCATTGAAAAAATAGGGAGGGGGTAGTTGCTGACGGCAGGAGGGTGAAGTTTCGTGTACGATTTTCATGTCAGAATTAGTCCCCCTAAAAATGAAAATTGAAGTTTTCGATTGCACGTTCGTTTCTGATTTTATTTCACTATTATTTTATTTCAGGTTTTTTTTTGCTTGATACAATTGTTATTTACAGCTATTTATTTTTGATTCTTTTTTTTTCTAGCTGTTTCAGGGATTTCAAATCATTTTATATATTAGACAATGAAAGTCCGAACTAGTGAAATTCACCCATCATAAGTTCATACATGATCGAGATTTTCTTGAGTTTTAAAACGTCACTTGAACAGGCAATAAAACGAATCCATTGCCTTTTATAGTTTCAAATGTATTTTCAACTTATGAACAATTCATAAGTGAGTTTAATCAACTACAGTCCTATTTATACTTTCGTAGTTTTCTTCACAGAGGCTCATTCCATCACTTAACGACATAGCACACTCTATACACATCAACATCACAACATGACGCCTTAAAGGCCATTATCAAGATGAGTTTCGTTTTTTTACAAATGAAAGAATATAAAAGCTACTAGAGCGTTCTTCAAGGATTTTTGCTAGTCGAGACATTCTTGACAGTAGCTATTATTTCAAAGTCGTTTCTCTGGTTACAATGGAATGAACAAAACAATAAATATATTGCTTGATTTATTTTTAGGTCAACGAATTGCTAAGAAAAAAACTCACGTAAAGAAGAGAACTCTCAGTCCTGTTTTCAATGAAAGTTTCGTATTTGATATACCACAAGGAGGTGAAGGATTGGATGCTGTGAGTCTAGAATTTCTACTGTTAGACTGGGATCGTGTTACCAAAAACGAGGTGAGTCGAAGTTTCATTTCATTTTATTTTTCAAAGGACAGTCTAGTGGTTTATACTCAATTTGGAACCACTAACCAAGTTTCAGAACTGACAGACAGATAAATAAATGGATGCTCCTCATACTGACATTTTTTCTGAGTATCTCGTTTATGAAACAACTCACTGATGTTGATAGTTTCTTTGAACTGTCATTTCATATCGCATTTTTTCGTTAAAAAATTTATATATTATTCTGAAGTAATGCAAATGTAATATTTAGTCACAAAAACCATTTGATTTCGATATACCTTGCCCTTGATTTCAGTAGTCTGTCTATGCAAGTCTCACTGAAATTAAATTTGGAACGCCTTCATCTCTTATCTCACTTGTTCATCTCGCGAGATGCACAACAAGTGAAAAGTTTGGTTTTTGGACACTTCTTCCACAACGCCCTTTCCTTAGGGGAATTACTTTTTCGAAAATCTTGGAATTGTCCAAGATCAAGTTGACGACACCATTGAATGTGATTTTCTCGCTGCGAAAATTCCTGCTGATCTAGAACCTCAAAACCAGGTATACAATTAGCTTCCTGGTGAAATTGTTCCCTGTCGATGTTGAAAATTGCAGGACAATAAGATGTTGCATGCAGCAGAAGATGAGTCCACTCAAATCAACTATAGAAGCATTCATCAAGAGGGTCGAACAGGAATTAAGACCTTTACAACTACTTGACCCCTAAGATCAGTACTGAATAGACTTTTGTATCTACCCTCGCTATATTTTGTATTACCAGGAGCGAAAGTGGTTCAATTCTGATTAGAAAATTCACTTAGCTTTGAGATTTCAGACAAAATTTGAATTTCGCAATATGCGGAAGAAATAACATCAAACATATCCGTAGACTATATCACATCAAAACACACTTTCTACTCAAATTTAAAAAAATATATGATGAAAATTCATCACGAGAACTTGCTTGATAAAATCATATGGTATGCATACTGGTTGAAAACAGAATAGATAGATAGATAAATATTTATTCTTGAAAAATATAGACATTATTCATATATTTTTTTTTATTTTGAAGGAACATACATCAAAAATATTCAAGTTATTAGGTACATTATTTTATAGATCATTCCATAACTGAACGTAATATACACACAAAGCATTGAGCTTGGCTGCAAATATAGTTGTTTTCTTTTCCTCTTTTCTTTCTATTCTACTCCTATTTTTCTATTTTATTCAACATTTCTAAAGCATTGAAATGGTTTTAGAAATTAAATAATTTTATGATAATTTTTCAAAAGATTTATATCTGATTTTTTTTCAGTTTCTGCGGGATATCATTATATACCTTCTGACCCACGTATAAGAAGTTTCCTTGACCTGAATCTTTTTGAAAAACACGCCCCTTCTCAAACGGAGAGAGTCACTAAACCTCCGGTACCTTGGTTAACTTACAATATAAAGATAATTATTTTATCAAGAACCGAGCTCTTAAGAAATGAAAGATATCATAAGCGAAAGCTGATTGGATTTGTTATAAATAACTCAGAAATTATACATGTAGTACGATACGAAGTGAAAAAAAAAACATATCTTGATTTCGTTTTACGAAATGAAAATTCCAAATCAACTTGGAATAACTTTAAGGATTCTTGATATCCCCGACGAATTGAATGACTTCAATATTATTAACCAGCACTTCAATTCCATACCTCAACCTGTCAGATCTGCATACCAACTGTCCTTATTAGATCGTTATGCTAATGTGAAAGAATCTAAATACTCTTTTTACTTTACCGCAGTGACCATTGAGATGGTTCGAAGCTCCCTAAGACGCATCAAGAGCAATGCTATGGGTTCAGACGGGATATGCCTCAAAATGATCAATCTCATTGATTCTTTTTTGATAAATCATTCCACCTTTCTCATAAACTGCATCATAACCAGTTGCCAATTTCCAAAATTTTGGAAAGATGGATTGGTTATCCCTCTGGCTGACTGTAACTCACCTACAGCCCTTTCTGACCTGAGACCAATTACAATTATCCCGTGTCTCTCTAAAGTAGTGGATTATTTTAATATTTGTTCAATCAGGATTCAGATCACAGCATAGTACCACCACGGCACTTCTGTCAATTACTGACGATCTTTATAAAGCTGTAGATGATGAGAATATGACCTGTTCAGTACTTCTGGATTACAGTAAAGCATTCGATACTATTGATCACGAGTTTTTGTGTAATAAACTTGTCTACTTTGGGTTTTCTCAGATATCAGTGTTACTTTTAGGAAACTATCTAAAAAATCATACTCAAAAAGTTGTTGCGAATGGAGTTGTATTAGATGATCTACCGGTGTCAAAAGGAGTGCCACAAGGACCTATTCTCGGGCCCTTGATTTTTAGCTTATACATCTGCGATTTTTATCAGTTTGTAAAAAAATGCAGTATGCATCACTCTAGTGATGCATACTGCTGTGCTGTGCTGTTAACACTGTTTGATTTTTGAGTAGTATTTTCATAACGTATTCAAAAAACACTTTATTGTGAGATTTTCACTTAACAGTTCTACATAAACGTAACACGTGTTTCGCTTCTCCGAGCGTGTCTTTACTTTAGTAAAGAAGTCATTGTATGGTGAAACACGTGTTGCGGTTGCTGTGCTGTGCTGTTAACACTATTTGATTTTTGAGTAGTATTTTCATAACGTATTCAAAAAACACTTTATTGTGAGATTTTCACTTAACAGTTCTACATAAACGTAACGCCTTGTTTCACTTCTCCGAGCGTGTCTTTACTTTATAAAGAAGCCATTGTATGGTGAAACACGTGTTGCGGTTTTGTAAAACTGTTCAGTGAAAATCTCACAGTCAAGTGTTTTTTGGATACGTTAGTTGAATATATTAGTTATTTTCATCAAGTATAGGTCCAAATCCATCATATAAATATTTTCATATGTTTCAAACCGCGTCTGGTAGGTGTGCATAGTTTCATTTTTCATGAGTTTATCTTTGGCAATTTGAGTAAGCGCAGCTAGGTAAAAAATGTTTCTTAAATTGAGATATCGAACTTGTTCGAATACATTTTCGAGTGCGAATATTTTTTTGATGAATTATTTTTATTGTTCGTTTTTGTGCTGTCTCAAGGGGTTTCAAGGTGTTTCATTATGCCCCTCCTCAACCAGTTATCCCGTAGAATAACAAGGCGTAGTATATATTTCTCATTGTCTGTCTGTCAGTTTATCTTGAAATCTGTCTGAACATGTACATAAGAGAGCGAATTTTTTGTGTCAGAAGTTGGATGTGATAGTTCCATTTCAAATGACTGTCTACCGTTATTTATAGATAATTAGTATGGTCAGTGTTTTGGAGAGTTCATGTATCTTTTCGCGTAGGAATATTTATATGTATTGTCTGGTTTTTTGGCAGCCCAGTTTTATAGTTTGAGAAGGGTGAATATGTAGTTATTTTTCAAACTTATGGTTAGTCAGATCTCTTCCCAAATTTTACCTTCAACGTAAGGCACCTTCATCCGCAAAAGAAAGTACTGTCCTATCAGCTTCTGACCCAATAGATCGTTCGAATATATAAGGAATAATATGGGTCCCATCATCTTGTTTCGTTCACATTGCTTGTCCGCGAATTCCAAAATTTTCCAATTTCAACAAAAGCCTTTGATGACATATGGTGTCATCTACCATCTACCATCTACCATCTACCATCTACCATCTACCAAGCCTATGAATACTCCAGCACATGCACGACTCGAATCTAAACTATTATAGATTTTCTGAGTAAGCACGGCTTTTTCATCATTTGTTAATAGATTTTGTTAAAACATGAACTGCATCTTGGATAATATTCTATGTTTATCTAAAAAACAGTTCAGTCTGCGACTGGAGTTGGAATATACCGAGGGGATAAATTTAGATTACAGCTACACACACGGTCATGAGCAATATTGCAATAAGAAAGTAATATAAATTTGAGTCCTTGGAGGAATGAACGAATCAATATTTTTACATGAGATGATTCCACGGCCGATCTCTGACAAAATATCCAATGTTTCTGGGTTTATTAGCCGTGATCAGCAGGTTTTTATACCTGATATTTCCTTTGCTATGCCCTCTCTGGGTTGAGTGCCCTGAGATAGAATCTTCCCCACTCGATTACTGTGTGCAGAAGCTAGAATCTCGTCCATTCATCCCCACTCATTGCAGAGTGGACCTCAACCTGCTGAAGGCACATCAGCAAGATTGACATCTGAACTACACATTGGATTTGACTAATTCAAAATTGAACTCATTTGGAAAAAGTTTCTGCATGGCAGACTTAGGCATGAAGTATACAAATAACCAATCTATGCGGACCAATATTTGAACAAGCATTCCAATCATCATTCTGGGCAACAAATATAACGAGGCCAAAATCAAACGAACCATATGTATGCTGGAGCAAACGGCCATAGAAAAACTTTACCGCCCTACATAAGTGGCGTGACGAACCGAATTGAAAGGATCTCCTAAAAACATGAAGTTGGGGCCATTTTCAAGCCCCAACAAGTACGATAGAGAATAGTCTCAGGTCAGGAATCCATTAAGTACTCCAGGAGTACCCAGTGATCAGATCATCTGCTCTCAAGTGAAATACGTCAAGTTAAGTACTTTTCGGAAGTTCATATGAGGCATAACCTTTTGTGGTTAACTTTTCGGTTTGCCTTGTATTACACATGTGAGCAGATTCTTTGTTGATCTAAATTCATTTAGTTTTCATTAAGGACGGTTATTTCTGAATGATATAACTTTCAAATTATCTAAAAGAACACTTTGTTAAGGCCAGTCTCAAATTACCCACACTGTAAGTTAATGGACTGACACATATCAGAAAAAAACTGTCCTGAACGAATTGCTCTTTTAGTTCATTTGATTTACAGCCAGTCTCCAAGTATGCCCACTCATTTTGTGAAGTTTTCTTTCTTATACGAGGAATTGGGCAAATTTCGGATATGCGTTTGATTACCTCATTCACGGGGAGATGGGGCGATGACAAACATGTTGTTTTTTTTGTTCGCTTCTGCCTGGTTCGAGGAATGATACTCTGAAAGGTATTCGATTTTCAATTATCGGAAATCATCGATGTCATGTTGATGATAGACACTACCTAGCACTGATGAGTGGCCAAACAGCCCAAAACCGGTCTGAAAGTGTGTTCCAATAATTAAAAATCGATTTCGGCAATTGTATCGCCAATAGCGTGTGCAGGATTAACTTCGGTAGAGAATCCTGCACTGACATCTGTCGGATATAATCCAATGCCCTTCATGGTATTAGCCAAGGGAGTAATTGTTTCCTGATAGGTGTCAGTCCATTAACCTACAGTGTAGGTATAACGAAACAGGCCTGCACGAATTGTTATTTTAGCCAATTTACAGACAATCTCCAAGTATGCCCACTCATTTTGTGATATTACTTTTATTCGGAATATGCTCAGCAAATGAATGTTTTTCAAAAATATTTCCAATATGCCATAGAAAAAGTATTCTATTCGCGAGAAATGGTCATTATCTGTGAAAATGAAGTTTATTGTTAAAATCTGTCAAAATGCTTACTTATTTCTTAAACACTTTGATTTCAGGTTATAGGAAGGTTGGATTTGGGTGGTACCAAATGTACGGGTTCAGCTCTTCACCACTGGAATGAAGTTTGCAATTCTCCAAGGCGACAAATAGCAGAATGGCACAAATTACGAGAATAGAACCACTAGATTAAGAGCGTATCTATATATTACAATTCCTTCACAAAGTCAATTCAGTTGTTCAACCTGAAAGTCTGAAACTGGATATATCACTATCAAACTGTTATTTTTGATCATTGATTGACAGTTTTCAATTCATTTCAAAGATATTTACTGCGCAGAACATTAAGATAACAGCAAAAATACACTCACACAGCTGGAAAGAGAAATTGAGAAAGAAAAGAATATTAAGACATACCTGAAGTAAAATTTCAATCAAGTGCACGTTAAAGATGAATATGTAAAAACCAACTTTTGAAATGAATGAATGTTATTTTTATTTTTGAAATTGACGATTCCTTTTTGTTTCCTGAAGATGATGAGCACTCTGATAGTGAAATGAATAAATTTATTCTGTGGAAATCATCTTGAGTAATTGAAAAAAAAATCGATTCGCAGGAACTATTGAGGGAAGATTAAACTCTTTATACATATATTAATACCAAAATCATCAATGTAGCAGAATTTTCAGAAAAACTCTTGTAGGAATCAAAGGCAAAAGTTCTAGTTTGATGTGTCTTAAACATTCAGAAGAATGTAAGATGCATTTTCATAAAGAGTTTTGATTGAAGAAACCAAAACTGATTTGACCGTTATCAAATATAATGACGAACGATTTTCTAGAAGTCTACTATATAGTAAAATATCTTAACCCGATGGAAATATGTTTATCCAGCAACATGAGTTTTTTATAGATAGATATAGATAGATTCCACCTGAAGAAACATTCAAAATAAAAACCAATGTGTTGAAAAACTGTTGGCAGTTGATAAATCACACATACAACTCATAATGAATCAATAGAACTTGTGAAAAAATTTTTTGGAATAATTTTGCAGATGTTTCAAACACTCTACCTCAAAAATATTATGCAATACTTTAGATCTGTTTCCTCTACTAATCTGATGTGAATTTTTCAAGCATATTGTTAGTCTTTATAGTTTCTCAAACTAGTGAAGTTATCACGTCGACTCATTATTTATAAATGAATTGATATTCTCCGTACTCTATGATACGGATGTTGGTGACTCATTGTTGAAACAACCTGAAAGGGCAGCAAATCTGAAAGTCAACTTTCATCGACCCCAACTGACCTTATTTTCACGGAAAGTGGAACACCCACGTGTTTTGTATATGTCACAGAAAATTGATTTCCAGAGAGTCACTGAATGCATCGGCACTTCAACTTTACGCACACAGTTATGAAGGAATATGAAAAAGTAGATTCGAGTGGTTATGCAATTGGAGGGAATAGGGAATTTAGCAATCTTCAACTCGACAAAAAATGAACATGATTCAGGGGAATCAGAAAATATGAAATCTTCAAGAAAGGATCATATACTCCTTCAGTATTCTCATTGGAATATCTGTTGTTGAGTATATGTTCATCCACGTCGTATATGAAATTTCTTCAGAAGAAAATGCACAAAAACTCGAATAAATGTCTCAAGAAATTGTCAATTTCCTTATCAACACTCGATATTTTCATAGAAATCATTCACATCTTGTACACAAAATGGTACTTTTTTGTTTTGAGCGATGGACCCTGCTGGTTATATTACCCCCCTACAGAGGAGATTGTAATAATATGCTGCTGGTTCATAAATGCTGGTTCTATCCTTTTTCTGGACAGTGTAACAACGTACAAAAATTAGGCAGCTGCTGTCACCAGATGCAGATTTCTCCGCATCAAATTTTGAATATCAAGGCAGGTCCGAAAAAGCTGTAGGGTTCGTGCCGATCGCACGAAGGCCGGTCTTTTTGAAATCTGATCATTTGGTTACTTACTTATATTCTCTCTCGTTATGTGGTTCCAGATCTGAATTTTAATCTCAATTGAAATGATTTTCTCTCACTATTCTCTTCTCGATAGATTGACAGAAGGTCACTTATTTGTTTTTGTTCTCTTAACTTCATCTTACTCTACTTATTTTTCTCATTCCAAGAGAAAATGAAAGTCCAAAGTTTCGAATATAAAGTATAATAAGTAAAAAAACTACTCCATAGACAAAATAAAAACAACGTGTAAAATATTATATGAAAGGAAAATAATAAATTCTATATGAAAGAAACTAGAACAAAGAAAATGTCGCCCCTTTTACTATGCTATTTACTATCAATCTAACCTGTTGAATAATTACAAATGCGCCAACTCGGTACAAAATACTCTTAGTTTTACTTTTACTTCAGGGAGTGTGGTGTATAACTTCAAATTTTCGCCCCTTTTCTGTAATTGTATTATCAACTTCAGCTAAACAATCAGCACTAGGAACCCCACAATATGTAACCTCTTTGGAAATAGGAAGTGGACTCAGACAGAATAATATGTGAACTCTCTCTAAACATCAACTGGTTAGTCATGGTCAACCATCGGTTCCGTTGATACGGTGTGTTTTCAACATCAACACTTTAATTTCGAACTCCCCTGTACCCATTACCGGTTTATGCTTTCACTACTTAAGTTTCACACCACACCGGTTTATGCTTTTACTACTTAAATTTCACATCACGCACTTACAAACAAATTAACTCCCCTATTTAGGCCACCTCCCTCAGCCTCGAAGGCTGAGGGATGAGACCCCCGATCTCGTCTCGACGAGATTCGGTGACCGACTTCTTGTGTCTCGCCAGAAACTCCGAAGCCCTCGCGTCAGCTATGCTATTCACAAAAACCTCATATCAGTGTTTTTTCAACCTTCACAAGTGTATGATTATCGGCAGGATGCAATACATTTATTTGTTCAGTCTAAGTAAATTTTAACATGACCACAACGACGCTCGAAGGTCCGACAGTCATAAAGTAATTCAGCGCTTTTTCAACTGGAAAAATATCGACACCGAAGAAACGNTTACCTTAATTCAATTTAAAAATGTTCAAAAAACAAAAAAAAGTTCCACAATGGCAAAAAACAAACCTCAAAACGAAAGAAAATAACAGAATCTTATATAACGTCTACTCGGTACACCAGTTTAAAAAATGTCCAAAAGCACAAAAAAATACGACTTTCACAATAACAAACTCATTGTTTCAGAAACCTAATTGGTATAGTTAAATAAAAATTCAATCAAAATAAACAAAAACAATGTAATACTGTCCGAAAATAATCCTCAAAAAAATGTTAAAATAACACACAGTCTTATGGCAGGTACTAAAAGTGACACCAGTGTTACGTCACATCTGCTCGGCGCTTGGCGTGGCGATATATGTAAGTAAGAAATCCTGTATGTCCATAATCGTTGGCCGCGGGTATCAAAGTGGGAATCTTGCACCTTGACTATCCGACTACCTCATTAATGATGAAGCAGCAGAGCATATACTTTGTGCCTGTCCCGCTGGGGACCAAATCAGGTTTTTAGAGTTCGGCAGAGCCGTATACAGCCGAATACACGGCATTTTCAATTCAGCGATTTTGAGATGATGCATTGCTTTAGATGGTTCATATATTTTTGTAATCTAAAAATGACGTTGCCAGAGGTGAAACTAACAGACTGCCATCAACATTGAAATACGATTTTTCCTAAAAAAATTCGGATGGTATCGATTAATGAATGAACATATTTCCATTAACGTGTTCATGCATATAGCATTATTCAAAAATATGTGCTTCAATTTAATTCGGTAGAAATAACCTACATATACTTTTCCAGTACATTTTTGATAACAGAGTTGATTGAATGAAAGATCTGGTTATACATTTCAATTTTGAAATGGGTTTCGATTAGCATTTTGATTCTGAAGATTATGTGGAGACTTTGATGGTGAAATAACAATGAAATCTGTTTTTATTTCTTTGAAGTTTTTCGATTTTGGAAACGTCATATGTTATCCACATTATAATTCCAACCAGATGAGGCTTGAAAGACTTCAAGATATGTTTCTTCACCTACATTCACGATGAAATAACTGAAGCTTATCATTATACAGGAACAAATGGAATTCGTTCTGGATATGGTTTCTTCTTGTAGAAAAATGAAACATTATATTTGAATACTCCCATTTTAGTGTACACCATATACCTCAACGACCAATCAGAAGTGGTTACTTGCTAGTACAAGTCAGAATACATATTCCTAGAATATGTGATTTTTTCAAGGAATACTCAATCTTTATATTTTTCCTATATGTTATTATGCTTTCGAAGAAACTTCCACAAATTATTTTCGATCATCAAATTGGTAACTTATAATCATTGTAACGTGACCATGCATTTTGGCATTAATGTTAGAACACCCAGTAATTTTTCTGTTAATGGAATTCATTAGTGGAAACTTGATTGACTTTTTACTGATTTTTATCAAATAATAAAATTAAAAGAATATATGAATGGATTAATAAGTCGATCACATGTCAGTGTAACATATTTTCTTTCCCCTAATGTGTTGTGGATTTTCAATCTATCTCGTTTTCTGAGTCAAACTGATTACATATTCTTCAAGATCGCCGAAAATGTTGACACCATAATCATTATAAGTCGATTTTCAAAGGAAAACAATTTTGAATTGACTTTCCAGTGTACTCTTATAGAAGCATTACCAAGGCCTTTTAGATGAATGTCGGGATGCATTTATACTAATTGATTTGGTCCATGAGTTTTTCTAAAGCGCCCTTGCAGTAGTTAGGCATAACCCTAATCGTTTCGATGTGAACACTCCTGAATGTACCATACTGAGTATATAGTTAGGGTGTAGCATAACTCAAGCATATTTTAAATTAACACAAAAATAGGCTATGAATGTAAATAAAGTTATCACCCCTTCATTTGGTATTTTGTCCTTTCGTCAAGAATGTTTATAGATTCAGAAGTATTTCGAAGAGCTTTAATGTACCGCGGCATCAAACAAATGCTGGTGTTAGAAAGTGATTATTTTATCTAAAATGCGACCCAGAAATGTATCTATTTATGATTCAATAATTTTAATATTTTCGTAAAATAGCCTCTCCCCACTGCGACCTAGATTAATTATATTTTTTTTACCATTTCTTGTACTCTTATTTCTCTACAACCTAAGGCAGATATTTTAGAAATAAATTATGAAAATGATATTTTCTGAATGAAATTTCATGAATCCACGGTTCAACTCCAAACACTATAATATTTTCTCATTTCTAGAGAATGATTGTAGAAGTAAGTTTATAACTGAATTATTGCTTTACTTCTGTTGAGTATTGAGTTTCATCGATTGTGAATTTAGGAATTCCCGTTTCAGGAAGAAATAACCTAGTAAGTTGATGCTAAATCGTAATATTCTTCTGAAAAAATATTGTAGTTTTTGAAGGACTGGAGGAGTTTATTTTTACCCATATTTTTGTTTTGAGGAATGATATTGAAAATTAGATGGTGCAATGGGATCATAAAATTTGAAGATCGCCTATTAGGTTATGAACGTCAATTTTGTTCATTTCCTAATAGCATGAAATTGAAATTGTAAAAAGTGAGATTGTATTTATGTTTAGTAGTATTAGCTACGTGAAAAGGGCTTTGTTATATGGAAATTGTCTCACCAAGGGTTGCGTTAATTTTGTTTACTCTCTGGAACGGAAAACTGTTTACAAAATTGTGAATGTCGCCCTGATTCCTTCAGATAAACATTTGAATGATGGACTGCTAAGCATAAATTGAGCATATGGAAACAAATATCAATATCTGAACTGAAATTATTTCTGAGTTAGCAACTTCATAAATGTGATTACAATTTTAGAAAATTGAATGACATATTTGAGAAGAAAGTCACCCTGTCATTGCCCTGGAGACTGAATTATAAATATGTACATTATTGATTGGATATGGATCAAGTCCAAATTTACCAAATTCCAATACGTTTTTTCTTGATGTTTCCGTATTTCTCACAGTGTGAAAAATAAATGAAACTACATTCATGTTGAATATTCTGAAATGTAATGAAGGAACAACTGAAAAGGTTCATCCCGAGAAGTTACTAATCAATATAAACCTCTGAAAAGTCTAATTCGTAACTTGTGTTTTATAAATTTCACCCAACAATAAGATATAATATGGAAAAACTATTATTAAAAACCTGTTATTCTCGCATATGCGTCTCATGTTTTGGTGAGCCGTTGATTTACTTTCCCAAAAAAATACCTATATTGAAATTCAAAGCTTCTTTTCAGACGTAAAAAGATTGAAAATGCGCAGATGCCATATTCGATAATCTGAAATATACACAGACTTATACAGAATGCTATCCGAACATTCATGTCATATTCATATTTCCGTCTTCAATATCTTGTTTTACCAGGTAACCAGGTACGATTCATTATCAGAGAGTTGGTCAACATATACTCCGTATCTTTTAAAAAAATATATGCGGATTCTTTAGGCTTTCTGTATTCTTCTTGAGATAATTTTGTTTCTTTTCTTTACAAGTGTACTTTGGCCAACTACGTGGAAATGGATCATCATGATTGAAGAAGGAAATATGACCATAAATTGATTTCCGATATCCTGTGAAATTGACATTTGAACATTATCTCTCTTTTGACATATATAGGAAAACTATAAGTTTTCAATCGCGAAGAGTTTTGAGTTTTGAAAACTTGAACGTGAAGAAAGTACATATTTATTCTTCATCGGTTTGTCTCATTTCAGTTTATATACGATTATGAATACGAAAAATTAGTGACTAATCGAACACTTGAGAGGTTTGCATTACCCAGTAACTTGACCGATATAGATTTATTCATTTCTCAGATTGTAGAAGGAAGAAAGAAATACTCACTCTGTTGATTTTTTAGCTTTATACACGCAGCATACGCAACCCAGGGGAGTATCAATTGAAATATAAAGTCCCTGCAGCTTACTTTGTTATCGAGTTTCATTTGTTGAGAATAATATCAATGTCTATGAGAAAAACACTTTTTTAATACATTCGTGTCTTTTATTTCTTTACCATTGATTATCATCAAAATTATTTCATTTCGGATAAAACGAAATTCCTGTCGTATTTGAATTTATCAGTTGTATAATATTCCTCACTGAATGTCATTGTAACGAAAAAGATATGTCTCTTCCATTTACATAAATAAAGTCGTGAATCTTATACAGATGTTGAAAAGGGCGTAAAGGATCATCATTTTCCGTATTGATTCTTGCTATTCTGAAAACTCCATCTTCGCTGGAATACACTTCCAGAATTTTCCCCATTCTCCAATTGGATAGTTTTCAATTTTCATCTCCAATTGAACAGTCAACTCCAATTTTCAACTCAGGTGGCTTTCTTTGACCAGTTCTGCTGAATGTTCCTTTTTGAAATTATTCTTGTACTGTTTCGACGTTCTTGAACGTGTTTATGTCTTCTTTTCGATTTTTTTCGGTGAGTTTTATATGAAACAGGTATAT